TTTTATTTCTAATTATGTCAGTTTCAGTCCCTCATATATATATATATATATATTTAAAAACAGTAAAATGTAAATCAAGTGGTAAAATATATAAAAGCTGAAAAAATATATATGATGGTCAACTAAATAATAAAACATGAAAAAAGTTCTCATTTTAGTACTTAAATGGTGCATTTTAAGTGTATTTATTTATTTACTGGTCCATTTATAAGTTTCTGCTTTTATTTCTAATTATGTCAGTTTCAGTCCCTCATACACACATGCACTGAACATCTCAAAAAGCAATGTTCAAGCCATAATCTGAAAATGTAAAAACCTACAAAGACATAAACATCCACCTAAACTGACGAGCAGAATAATTAATCTGAGAAACCCATATTAAATCTGAAAGAGCTGATCTGCTGCTCGGGTGGGAAACCTTCCAACTAATGTGGAAAAAGTTCAGCGGGTATGAAAGCTGGATAACATCCAAACATCGAGCTGGAACTCACCAACTAGCATCTCGTAGATAAAAACTCCCAGAGACCACCAGTCGCACTCCCTGCCGTAGTTTCCATCACCAGCCTGAGACTGAAGCACCTCAGGGGAGATGTAGTCCGGTGTGCCTACAGCTGTGTCACAGTTCACCATACCTGTCTGCATATACAGCACAGAGCATCAGAAACAATAAACAGGAGACAAAAACAGTCAAGAACAGGCAAGTAGTGTTTGTTTCACGGCTCAGTCCGCTCAGAAATGGTGTTAAAAGAAAAGCTTTCTTCCTCTCATGCATAAAAGATACAACAGTACAATCGTTTAACAGAACTTCAGAGAGGTTAAAAGTGTGAAAGCAGCTGAAAAGCCAGGGTGAAAACAATAAGGCTGAAAAACATTTCCTGTCTCACACCAGAGGCCAGGCTGCTGCTGCACCCTTTAACTTCAAAACAGCCTGATAGAGCCGAGCTCTGGGCGCCACTTCAACCAGCCAACCACCTGATGGTGCAATATCACTCTCACTCCCAGAGATGTATTCGGTGCTAATGAGTTAAAGAGGATGGAAATCCACCCACCGAGTCCATCCTCAGGCACGTGCCGAAGTCGGCCAGTTTGACGTGTCCGTTTTGGTCCAGCAGCATGTTGTCAGGTTTAATGTCCCGGTGGATGAAGCCCAAGGAGTGGATGGCATCCAGCGCCAGCACCACTTCAGCCGTGTAGAACCGAGCCCACTTCTCGGGGATGTCGTAGTTGATGGTGAGCGTGACCAAGTCTCCTCCGGGCATGAACTCCATCACCATATAAAGGTGGTGATTGTCTTGGAAAGCACAGCAGAGCTGCCAGAATATATGAAAGTAATTTTATTTAATTTTTTTCCCTCTAAACAGTAAGTCATCATTCAGCAACACATTAGAAAAACTTTACTTCAGGAAATAATCTTTGGATGCACATATACAACTGATTAACTTTTGGAGCTAACCCAATTCAAGATGGCCGCCACAGTTAACTGACCTATAACTCGTTGTATTTTACAAATACTGAGGCAGTAGCTGAGAGTCTCCCCTGAGATAAAAGATCACGTTTATGAAAACTTTAAAAAGAAAACATGCATTCAGTCTTGGAGGACAGGTTTAACTACCGTATTTATTCAAGAATAATACGTAAAATTAAATCCATAAAATCATCCATAAAGCTGGGGGGTAGTACTATACTCGGATAAATACTTTTTACTTATGTATTTTAACTGAAATATCGGCTTCATTCACTAAATTATTGAGTCCGGAAATGAGACCGCGTCGTAAAAATCAGTTGAAACGAGCTCACCTATGACACTCCTCGTGCTTCAATGCGAGATAATAACAGATCCAGGCAGGCGACATGATGTGGAAAAAAAGGGGTAAAAGTAGTCCTGCACCTTAGTAATGATAACGAACTAATGACATTAGCATGTGACCAGGCCGCTCCTCAAACAACAACAAACACATGTTCGTCTGTAATGGCTGCTGTCTATCGTTGTTCTGAAAAAGTTTGTATCCCTGAAAAAAGTTTCCCCACCAGAGGGGGCGCTCACGAGTAGGAAGTAATCTGCTTTCCCCCACAAGATGGCCCAAATCTCATGTGAAGTCTCTGACTTTTGTGTTGGCGCCTCCTAGTGGACTATGTGTAAAATGCCAGAATTCATATGATGCTGCTACAGCTGATACCTGTACCTTTTAGTACATACGTATGTTGTTAAAATAAAATGAACAGTCCAATGATCATTTTACTGATGTGTATAAAGACGGCAAAGACTGAAAAATCCTGGTCTGTATGAAATTGGAGGTAGTTTGAGGATTAAATTTTTTATGCTTTTTAAGCTCAAAAAAGGGTGGGGTCGTATTATACACGAATAAATACGGTAGTTGTCATCATGTTTATCAAAACTATTGTTTTATCATGTAAAATATTCAACATAAACAAAAACAAAATTCTATTGTGGAAAATAAAATCCTGCCTCCCCCCCCTCCATCTTTCCTTGTTAACATTTGAAAAGAAAAACCCACCTGGACTATCCAAGGACTGTTGTTAAACGCCATGATGTGCCTCTCCTCCCAGAAGAAGGCTGAATCTGACCTCTTGATCATCTCAAACTTGCTGAGCTGCTTCATGGCGTAAACCTTCTTAGAGGCCTTGTGACGAACCTGCATCAGAGAGGTGGTGGTGGTGGGGGTTGGGGTTGTTAGAATGCACACAGCGATAACACCACACGGACAATAGGAAGAGGACTGTTAGAATGCCACGGTGATCACGATAACAGGGAGCCAGACTGAGACGGGAGGCTGTTATTGTTGTTCGTGCTCGTAAAAAAAAGAAAAAAGACATGCTTACACACGATTTTAAGCACAAACACCCACGTACCCCTTCACATCCCCACAAGAGACTTTAAACTCATCTCGCACACAAGCCGAGCCTGTCCAAACTTGTTTGTGCAACTTAACACCCGCAAGATACCAGATTCTACCAGAACAAGAGGCAGACAGCGAAAAAATAAACAAGAAAACGGAGCCAGCTTTAAACCCAAAACCAAAATCATTTGGTAAATATCTGAAGAAAACAGCTCTGTTTTAAAGCGAAGAGGAAAAGTAAAGATTTCTAGATTGGTTGCTCCCTCTGGTGGCTCAGAAGTGCTGGAATTACAAAACAGCTGGAGAATTTCTCCCATCAAAACACAGCTTTTACAGCAACACGCAACCCTCTGCAAACAAACACCTATTTATTAGACATTTACAGAGAGAAATCTTACCAGCTGCACTTCTCCGTAAGCTCCTCTTCCAATCAACTTCACTTTTTCAAAGTCTTCAAGCTTCACCTGCAGCTCCCGCAGCTCATTCACCACCTTTTCAACTGCAGGACAAACAAACGGATTTACTGCATTTATTTCCAAAGCTCATTTAAAGGTGTTAAAAAAAATAACCAACGTAGTGTGAGAAGCTGACAGGAGAAAAGAATGTATCCATTATTGCTTTTTTTATACTACAGCTGCTGTAAATTCTAGAATCATAAAGGACTCAGAATCAATTATCGGGTCTAGTTGAATTACTGTAGTTCACACAGCGTGGGTTATCTGCACCACTAAAGCTGAACAATCACACACATTTAAAACAAATATATATTCATTGTGATATCTCTTGCAGGAAATGCATTGCTTAAATTCAGCAAAAACAATGACAAAACACATTATAGTGACACGGCTCTGTGGCTGTTAAACTGTTATCTGAGCAGCTAAAACCTACTGACTAAACTAAGAACTACAAATTATTTTAAGTTCCAATTCCTCACAGTGGTTTGCTCAAATCAAAAGTAATGTTTCAAACTGGTCAACACATGCCCAACATTGTAACAAATTGCTGCCATCATATTTAAATAAAATAAAATAACTGTGCGCTGGTTTTGTTTTTAATTTGCATTGAACCACTATAACCCAGTGTTTAAAATGAAGAACTTACATCGGTTCAGAAAAGCCTCGATGTTTTTGTTTTTCCTCAGGACTGGATAGTTCAAATCATGAGTCAAGGCGTTGATGGAATCCTGAAACACACACACAAAAAACATGTTTTACTGTTTGTGAAAAAGATGGTACTCATCCTAGTCCATTTCTAAATCCTGCTTTTCCACATTTAAATAATTCAGTTGGGGTGTAACAAAATGTAACTGCAATGCTTTGGTCTGAATTCCTCTTTGTCCTCTTCTTATTGTAACTCCACAAGCCCCCCTTTCACCCCTCACCTGAGGCGTGTCTCAGAGTTGAAGGAATTATTGAGGTTCATGTTATATACTGATTTAGTTACACTACACATAGTTGTTTTATGATAGAACTGTAATGACTGTTAAATGTGACCTTTGAAACTTGATGATTCTATTAATAGTTACATGCCCGCTAACTCGTTTTGACGCTGTCCCTTTACATCCAATTTAAAAAGGAGACAACTCAATTCAAGATGGCTGCCACAGCTACGATGCCTTGGTAAAAAACCCAAATAGTATAAATCGGTCAGTTTTACAGATATTGTGCTAAAGTTTGGTGCGGTGCTGTAGTAGCCAAGTGAGTCCCAATATAAACTCGGCGTGCTAACATCTCACAACAAGATCTTTGGTTAAATAATTCCCACTAAATATTAGAGTCAAATCTGTTTGTAGTTAGTAAAACAGCTCAAGAATCACAAGTTAATGAAACTTTCAGAAAGTAATCACTGGAGCTACACCGGCAGTTGATTTATTTTTAGAGTCAATCCAATTCAAGTAGGTCACCACCGTTAATCAACCTTGGCAAACTAATGTACAGAAAAAATACAAATAAAAAACAGGATGACAAACAAATTGTAACAGTAAAAACTTGTCAGATGACGCATTACAGCTAACTACCACAGCAATGGCCGTTCAGCATGTCCCGTTGAAGCAGATACAGAAACCAGTGGCTCAACAGAAACGGGTGGAGCAGTTGTGTCATCAGTGTTTAAATCAGGGGTGTTGGGTTTCATGTAGGTCCAAAATGTCCCTGTGATCCAAACAGAGCAGCTGGAAGGGCAGTTCAGCAGGTGGAAGGGGGTTTTACCATGTAGTGACCCTTTGTTCCCCCAAACCAAGAGGTCAAGTTGAGTCACCCAGCATGTATGTGTGTGTCTATGGAAGCTGATCTCTGGGGCGGGGATTCTATCGGCTTGTTTGTTCGGAGACATGCGAGTGGGTGGACAGCATGTGGAACAATTCTGCACCTTTAAATAGCAGCAGTGAGGAAAGACATCCCCCCCCTCATCCCACTGCAGGCAGGTGGAAATAGACCCAAAAGACTCAGAAGCTATTGAGGGACAAACAGCTTAGGGGTTTGAAAGCTCAAAGATCTGTGTGTATTTGCGCATCTCCTATTACTATAGCAGCTTACCACAGGGTGAAAAGAGGTGTTTTAAAGGTCTAATAAAAGAAAAAATATGTAAATTTGATCTAATTTTATCAATAGAAGAAGCAACTTTTGTGATTAATCCTTATTCTAAAACAATGCTTACAGTGAAACTTAAGGGTTCAGACGTTTCCTTCAAGTCAAAATATTTTGTTACAAATCACCTACTTCAGGACTCTTAAAAACAAGCATTCCATAGTAATTGTTCCCCAAGAGCGGTGTTCTTCCCCAGCAGAATACTACCAGATTGTTTCCATGAACACTGCTGGGAGCCTGAGGCGCTGACTTGGTCTCGCAGCTTTACCAGATCCCAATCCGAAAGAGCATCTGCAGATAGAGCCCACTCCAGAGGGGAACCAGTCTGGACTGTTCCCAAACGTTCCTACATCAGTGCCAAAAACAGGGAGTATCCCTGGAGGTCTCAGGTGGACTGATGGTCACGATTGGGTTTGGATGGCTCTAATGCAGGAGTCCTCAAGGGCCGGTGTCCTGTAGGTTTTAGATTTGTCCCTGCTTCAACACAGTTGATTCAAAAAGATGATTTACCTTCTCAGTTTGTCATCAAGGTCTGCAGAGTTCTACTAATTAAAGCATTCATTAGGTTCAGCTGTGTTGAACCAGGGTAGCACCTAAAACATGCAGGACACCGAGAACCCACTTTGGACACCACTGCTCTAATGCTTTCATAAAGGTTGAGTAAGCAGTTTGGTCAACTGCTGTTGTTTTAAATGTGCTACACAAATAAAACTGACATTAACATTAAATGCCTGTCCATTAACGTGAATCTAACAGATTCACACAATGAACCAGTAAGGATAAAAGGCCCAAATCTTAGATTTGGGAAAGCGCTCATCGCCCTGACAAGGAAAACACAGCACACTGGTTGGAGTCCTAACTGGGCACAATCTGCTCARYCGCCACAAAATGGTGATGGGACTCCATGACAAAGGTTGGCAATGAACTAGAGACCTCTTTGCACTACTTAGGCCACTGCCTGGCTCTGAGCAGTCAAAGGAAAAGAATTCTTGGGGACCTCTTTAAGGATCCTGAGAAGCTCAGAACAATGACTGTTTCCAACCTCATGTCCTTCATCGGTGGGACGCAAAGTTTTGAATAAAGACCAGTGTATTTTTGGGCAGAGCACTTACAAGGACCCCACTCATATGGGCTCTTTATCCATCCCCACTCACCATAACCATAAACCAGTAAGGAACGGGGTGTGCTGAAATTCAAATTTCCAATTCACCAGAACACTGAGTCTTGAAAAATCCCTTGAAACACTAATATTTTGCGCTCCTTCATCACTGATTAGAAGCTGACTTATGATGCAACTCTAACATCACTGAGATAAAAACAAACAGAAGATTGCATCTCTTGCTTAGGTCATCAGTAACCTCTTCAGTGAATGTGCCCCATTTGGCAAGCTGATGATTCAATTTCCTCCCCACTGTAGAACAGTCTTATCTACCCTGTAAACAGAAGGACCTTGGAACTAAGCAGCAACATAAAATATATATAAAAAATAAACATTTGTGTGCTTTTAGTTAGACAAAGATATCTATCATTTAGAAGTTTACAATAAGGACAACACTGCTCATTAAGAGAAAGGGGTATTTTAAGTATGCAATCGATTTATCCATAAAAACTGAACAAATAAAATTGTCAGTAAGTTAGAGTTCACCTTACACACTGTTTATTTTAATTATAATATGTGTGATTCATCCTGTATTAAGAAAGATTCGAATCTTTAGCCAGTTTGAGCAGCAAATAATTAGATCCAACTTGTGTAATGTTGTCTGGAATTTAGACAAATCTGAACATGATCCAGTAGCTTTGACTTTGTTGTTTCCTTGCAGCATTAGACACATCCTCCTCCTCTTAAAACACCCAGAGCTGATATCATCGGTGGCTTGAGCTGGGTGTTTGGTCAGTTTCATTCAACTCATTTCTGCATATAAAGACCTAAATGCACATGATGATTAACTCAATCAATAATTGCTTAAATATATCGTTCATTAATGAATTTCCTTTAATCACTTTTCTTTGTAGGGTTGCCTATCTTTAATTGTCTTTGGGTGAGAGACAGGTGCTCGGACATGTCACCATATTCACATCCACATTTGCACAATTAGACAAATACTGTTGTTTTATCTCATTATTTCCTTTTTGCTCCTAGAATTGCTTAAACTAACAATTAGCTCATCAGTTCATCAAGACTAAACTCTGTTTAAAGCCGTTGACTAGTCAGACAATAACTGTTTATAACCTTCTCACAGATTCCCACATCAAAAGATTTTAACTGCTGCTTCAAATGTTTTCAACACAAACAGTCCATGATAATTCTGTACCTACATCAGAACATTACTATGATCCGGTTTGTTGTTTTAGACCAAAATCTACGGTTTGATTCAAATGTAATACAACTAATTGACCTACTGTGTTACAACCTTTAATTTGTTTTAACTATTTTTGTACAAGCGTAAAAAATGAAATGTTTTACTGAGATAAATTCAAGCATCTAATTCATCAGAGCAGAATATCGTTTTAGAGTTCAATCATGTAAATTACAAAATTATCTTTATTTGTCAGGTTGTATATTGAATTAAACAACTAACGTGTCAGTTTATGACTGCAGTCACGTAAAAGTTTGGTTTCTTCAACCAGAACAAAAAAGACGTCCATTTAACTGCAGAGGTTTATAGTAACTAAGTACATTTACTTTGTTACAGTAAGCTGACGACCCCCTGACCCGGAGAAGGCACTCTGCCCTTTTCCGGCTCAAGACCATGGCCTCGGATTTGGAGGCACTGAGCCTCATCCCGGCCGCTTCGCACTCGGCYGCGAACCGCTCCAGCGAGAGCTGCAGATCGCGTTCCGATGAAGCCAACAGGACCACATCATCCGCAAAAAGCAGAGATGCGATCCTAAGGCCACCAAAACGGATCCCCTCAACACCTCGGCTGCGCCTAGAAATTCTGTCCTTGAAAGTAATGAACAGAATCGGTGACAAAGGGCAGCCTTGGCCGAGTCCAACTCTCACTGGAAACGAGCCCGACTTACTGCCGGCAATGCGGACCAGACTCTGACATCGGTCGTACAAGGACCTGACAGCCCGTATCAAATGGCCCGGTACCCCATACTCCTGGAAAACCCCCCACAAGGCCCCCCTTGGGACACGGTCGAATGCCTTCTCCAAGTCCACAAAACACATGTAGACCGGTTGGGCCAACTCCCATGCACCCTCCAGGACCCTGCTGAGGGTGTAGAGCTGGTCCAGTGTTCCACGACCAGGACGAAAACCACACTGCTCTTCCTGAATCCGAGGTTCGACTATCCGACGRACCCTCCTCTCCAGGACCCCTGAATAGACCTTACCAGGGAGGCTTAAGAGTGTGACCCCCCTGTAATTGGAGCACACCCTCCGGTCCCCCTTTTTAAACAGGGGGACCACCACCCCAGTCTGCCAATCCGGGGGGACTGCCCCCGATGTCCATGCGATATTGCAGAGTCGCGTAAGCCAACACAACCCTACAACATCCAGAGCCTTRAGGAACTCCRGGCGGATCTCRTCCACCCCCGGGGCCCTGCCACCGAGGAGSTTTTTGACCACCTCAGYGACCTCGTCCCCAGAGATTGGAGAGCCCAACCCAAAGTCCCCAGGCTCAGCTTCCTCAACAGAAGGCATGTTGGTAGGATTGAGGAGGTTTTCGAAGTATTCCGCTCTAAAAAAAATAAAGTGTTGAATTTACTCAAACAAGTCAACTGGTTCCAATAAACCTAGTAATATATGTTTTCTCAACAGTTTGGTTAATAAAATAAACTCACTGGTCTTTGTTTATTAAAACAAAATTATTTAAACTTTAACTTTTCTTTGTCTCTCTTTGATAATGACTAAAATTAATCTAAAGAAACATCAGATTCTTCTCTATAGTCTGTGTTGTTAGCCTTTGCAACAATGCTCTGTTTACATGCGGACATTCCCATTTGACATCACTTCCTGCTTCTTCACATGCCAATATCTCAACAACCGTTCATTTCTGTGACGTGAAATTTGTTTTGCAATATGTTAACATTTTCTTTCCAAAAATGCATTCATGTTTATTACAAAAAAATTGATGTCACAAGCTCTTTAAGGGTGCCAAACTAAAGGTAAGAACTGGAGGAAGTTGTCTGACACCCTAGTCTTCAAAATAAAAGCCCCCGGTGAAGTCTGGAAATGTTTACAGGCAGAAATCCCACCGTTTTTGCCCACCGGTGGAAGAAAGATTATAAAGTGTTTCAGTAAATTCAACAGTTTATTTCTTAGTGTGTAAAAGAACTTTTACTTTCCTGATTTTTGTGAACAGTTTTATGACTTTTACTTAAGTACTTTTCTCATGAGTGAAATTTATTTTTACCAAAGTCATTTTCTGTTAAGATATTTTTACTTTTACTTACCGGTACTTATTATTTTCGAAGTACTTTATGCACCTCTGGTTTTCTGCTCGCATTTTGAAAGACCATCAATCACATTACAGATTATCTATGCAGACATATAACAAAACATATAAAGATTTAGGTGTATTTGAAACTAGTTGCTAAAAAAAGGGTAAATTATTGCAATAACGATGCACCCTTGAATCAAAAAGAAATGACTTTATTCTCTAACAGAACAATTTTCCTTAAGAAATAATTCCAAAAAGTGTTTTATTTTCCCTAAACACCAAAACTAAAACAATTGTGGACAAACAGGAAGCGGGGATGTGAGGTCATGACAGGTTATCCCCACCTCAATTCCAGGAAGTTACTTCAGCTTCCTGTGTGGAAGCCGCCTGCGTCAGGAAGCACGACTGGCTACAGAGCTGCTTCAAAATCAGCGCAGCCGAATAAAACCATAAATGATGACTGGTGACACATGGAAGGATGCTCGATAGGGACATGAATTTGTTCACGTCACTTTGATGTTGGTTTGTGTGACGGTTGATTTAACAGCAGTGGATTTATTTGACCTGTGAGTCATGAGGGCTGAGAATAGAGCTGATCCTCTCATCCACAAATCAACAGTGGCAATGCAATCTTAACAGCTTTATTTAGCCACCTAGCTTCCTTTTTAAAAGACGATACAAAGTCTCAGTCTGAATATTAATGAATTAAAAATAAATCCCCTTACATTAGGCACAGCGGGTGATTGATTATTTCCATGAAGGAATACATTTCGCACACCGCCTTTTTTTGGTTTTGCCCAATGTTTTGAGGTACACTTCGCTGCAGCATGCAGAAGGGGGCGGTGACAGACCTTTCCGTCAGTCCCATAGTTTATATGGAAATGGGACTATTGCATTCCGGAAATGAAGGTTGCGCGGGATTAAGAGAGCAAAGGAAGAAGAAAGGAAGAAGTTAGAGAGTTTCTTCTACTCACGTTCTAGTACTCAGAGCATTAT